AAAAAATTCAAAAAAATTAAAATAAAACTGAGAAGAGATATTGTAGATATTTGGGCTTGAGAATAAAGGTTCTTTAGGGGTTGAGGCTCTTCTTTAAAGATTTTTTTCTATAAAAAAATTTAAATATCAGTTAATTTTTGTCTCATATAGTTAAACGATGCCAAATAAACTAGTATAATATGTCACTTTAGTCTTCTGATATTGAGGGAATGATTGTTTTATAAAAAATGATTGATTTATTATAAAACGATAACGACAATGATCGTTTCGTTACTTTTGAAACTTTATTGCTAAACAACTCACTCATACTTCAACGATCATATATATATATATATATATATATATATGGTTTACCCTCTTTTTAAAATAATAATAATAAACTTATGATATTTACCCTTCATTTGACCACTTTATAATCTCTCAAGTACCCCCATCGGGTAGGAGCATGTCACAATTCTCTATTCGACCATTAGAATGTTGAGGTTGAAAATGAGATTTATAATTGAAAATGGATTGTAAGTAGGGATGGATATGAGACCCGAATTTGATGGGTTCTAACCTGATACGATTTGATTCGGATCGGAGTTTTTTTTTTGGGTTCGGGTCAGGTCGTATCATATTTTTTAAAGGTGATGTTTGGGTAGGGTCAGTTTCGGGTGAAAAATACTCGATCTGACCTGACCCAGAAAAAAAAAATTACCTTATATATTTATGAATAATTATAATAATATCCCTCTATATATTATTTTTAATTAAATCACTGTTTTATTGAATAAAAATAATTTTTTTATTTCGGGTCGGTCGGATCGGGTTCGAGTTTTATCTCAAAAGGTCGGGTTGGGTTGGTCGAAACATGACTCAAATCCGACCCATACCCATCCCAAATTGTGAGGTTTATATTTTGACTATGAGTTAAGGTTTAAAGTTTGATTGAGATTCAGGGTTTAAAGTTTAGCTGAGGTTTTTGGATTCAAGTGAAACAAATGTTTAATTCGAAGTTAGGGGATCAAAATAAGTTAATCTAATTTTGTGGGTCTAACAGTCGTTGAATGACAATCACTGTATGACCAACTGAAAATTTTAATAAAAATATCATGTCAACACACAACTAGATATATAAATGATCGAATAACTAAACATAATATGAAAGTTCAATGATAAATTAAAAATTTAAATGTTAGTAATTAAAATAGGAGTGAGAAGAAAATTGAGTTATCATTTATGTAATTTACCCTTCCAATAATTTATGCTTTCCAAGTACCGAAAGTTGTTTGACTCATTACTTCTATATTTAGATGAAACTCGAAAAGCCAAGTGAACAACACGATAAAGAGATTCCTTCAGGATTTTTATTTAATTATCATCAACATTAGGCTATAGCATTCATTAACTTCTTCACTTAAAAGATTTTGAAATCTCAAACCAAACACATTTGTCTAAAGAATATCATTGTCTAAGTGTCTGTTTGTTTAGCTGTAATTGGTTTTCCAGAAAATGAATTACTGAAATTTGAATTACTAGAATTTGAATTACTGAAAAATGAATTACTGGAATTTGAATTCTGGAAAATGAATTACATTTCTGTAAAATGAATTACATTTCTGGAAAATGAATTACATTTCTGAAAAACATCTGGAAAACGTTTTATGATGTTTGGAAGATGTTATTTAAACATTTTTTCGGTATATTTTAGTGAAATAAAATTTTATAAATTATATTAATTATTTATTAAAGTAATAGTACTATATTATATTTTAAAAATATTAATTAGTATATTTTAATATCTTTACTAAAATATTATTGAAATATATAAATATTATTATTCATTATTAAATATATAAAAAAAATTTATTATATATTATTAAAATAAAAATATAATATCTTATATTAATATAATATAATTGATTATTTTATATAATATTAAAAATATAATATTATATTATTATAAATATTAATAAATATATTTTAAATATTTTAATAATTAATATTTTGATGAAAATGATATTAAAATATTTTATTAATATTAAATTCATAAAATAAAATTATTTTGAGTATTTTTGCTTTGAAGTGAAAAGTTCGGAAAATGACTTACGGAAAATGAATCCGTAAGTCATTTTACAGAAAACACAAAGGAAATTCTGTTACTAGGAAAATGAATTACATTCCGGAAAACGAATTACGTGAAACAAACACGGGAAAACGTTTTCCGGAAAACGAATTACGTGAAACAAACACGGGAAAACATTTTTCGGAAAACGAATTACGTGAAACAAACACGGGAATTCGGGGAAAACCAATTCCGTAATTCCAATTACGGGAAACAAACATACCCTAAATTCCAAATCTCAAATCAGAAATTAATTTCGTGGTCAAGATAATATTAAAAGAAAATCATAATTATTGTACCATTAAACTAAGAGAGGTCGTAGGCCTCGACTTTCCCGGGATGCACCTACAAACCAAGTGTGTAGGTCCAATATAATTTTTTTAATAATCTCGATTATAAGGTAATATTTATTTAGAATTTTATTAATTAATTTACAACGTACATCTTGTCGACCTATATGCTTGAACCTATAATTTAAAAAAAAATTACCATCAAAACACTATTTGAATTCAGGTTGCTTTTAACTTGATTAAATTATTATCACGTTGATAAAAGCCAACTGGAAGGAACTAGAGATGAATACTTGAGCAAGTTAAAGATGGACACGTGTTGGGGAAGAAGAGATAATTAGTATTGGGCATCTAATCGGGATTAGTCAAAAACAAAAGGCACTACAAAAAAAGGAATTCCAATGAGACAGGGTCAAACAAAAAGCTTATATGTCATTACACCACAACCTTAAATGGTGCCCATTCTTTTAGAAAGTTGTAATAACAAAGATTAGATGTGGCACAAAATCACCCCTCCAAATGAAACCCTAGTCGTTTTCAAGAGATACCCATCATGTGAGATACATAGCATGTAAAATTACAAGCCTTTTCAACGATTGGAGACCGGAAATTTTATAGCATTTGACTTATAAACCACTTATTACGATTTAAGTTAAGCCACGTTCCAGAAGTTAAAAATAAAGAAGGCTCAAATTTTGGGCAATTAGTTTACTTATTTAAAGTAATTTTTTGGATACATCCTATATAAAATTCAATTTGTATAATCTTATTTAATTTTATTTTTAAGTCATTTTCATCACTTGCTTTTTTTCTCACCGTATTAGTTTTGAGGCTATTATATAATTTTTAAAAGTGATAGGTTAAATCTAAATTGATAGAGTGGTAAGAGAGCATGAGACGAATTTGTCGATATCTTGAGTGGTTCGAGAAGACGATGAAGAATAATAATTACAACACCATCATGACATAAGGATGAAACTGTAAAGCTTTCATCTTTAGAAAAAAAATAAAAAGAAAAAAAAAGGAAGGGGGAAGCAACCCACATTGCCATAAGTGGCTATAACGTCATCATTTCATTTATGATTTAACACTCGAGTGACCAAAATAAGAGCAAATCAAAAGTTCGATGAGTAAATTGATTTTTTTTTAAATTTAGTGACTAAAATAAGAGTGAGAAGGAAGTTAAATAATGAAATTTGTAATTTACCCTTAAATGCCATGTGTCTTAATTTAGATTCTAAAATTAAAATATACAAATTGCATGTATAAATTTTAGATCAAATAATTTTCCTTTTAAAAAATTTGAATAAACTTTTCATGTTAGCTCACTATTGGGGTAAAAATGAATATATAAACGCCGGCAATGGACGATGATGAATCATAAATGAATGCAGTTCCAAACATAATAAACATTGAGTTAATGGTTTTTTTTATAAATAAATCCGATGTGAATATAATGTAGTATATGTTTAAAAACTCTTTTAACTATTTAACAATGAATGTTTATATCTAGGGACGGATGTAGGAATTTATGTCAAGAAATACGAAATACGAAATTATTTTAAAATTTAGGGGATGTGAAGTTATAAAATTTTAAGAGGTGTGAAATTAGATAATCAATTAAAAAAGCAAATAAAAACCTAAAATATACCGAAATTTAAAATTTCTAGGGATACTCCTAGCATCCCCTCAATCTATCCCTGTATATACAATGATTGAATCCAAAATTTTAAGGGATAATGATAAATCTCTTAATGATTAAGGTAACTTATTCGCGCTTAATTAAAGGATTTGTTTGATTTTGAGGGATAATTTTCTTTTATTTTCTAGTGCTATCTTTTTTAAAGCTTTGAAGTTGTTGGAGAATTTGTCTAATTAAAGCACAACAAAAATGCTGAAAATTTTCTTACGTGTTATTTGACTTTGGAATTTAAGTAATATTTTTAGTCAAAACTCAGAAAAGATTATAGGCTAGTGGCTTAAATAGATTGGATAACATGAGTTGACTTTTGGACATAATAATCAAAAGCCCCAAAAGGTCATTCTCTATTTTTTTCTTTAATTAAAAAAAAGGTTAAATCACACGGATACCACTTTTTTAGTTCTCTTTCGATTTTGAACACTTAATGTTTAATTACTATATTTTAGTCAATCATGTTATTAATTAGTTACAAATTAATCACTGAGTCGTTTACGTTGGTGACATTGATGATATGAGGTGTTAACAAAAAAATTTGATCTCTAAATTTTAGATAAAATATCAATTTAATATCATTTATAATATTTTAATTATAATTTCATAAGAACCTTGGCCGCCATCCTTGGTTCCACCATTGCTGCTTCGCCGATCACCTTCTTCGATTGGAACCAACACCCAAAAAAAATCAGCCCTAAACTTTTATGTCTCCAATAGTGTTTTTATTATTATTTATTTTCTTTCATTTAGGGTTTTAAAAACGGGAAATGATCATATGTGTCAGCCTTAATATACGGTTAAAAAAATACGTTACCGGTTTTGTTTTGAAGTAAATGATAATATTGATTTTGGTGCTGACCCAAGTACGTACTGGTTTTGAACCCCAAAAGAAAAGAAAAATAAATAAAAAGACATACTTGATTCTTAAAATTTTAGAGGTGATTTTCTGGGTTTTGGTGTTGATTCTGATCAAGTGGTGGTGGAATAAAGGATGACGGTTAGGGTTCTTATCGAACTATAGTTAAAATTTTGTAAAAATTAATATTTTATCAAAAATTTAAGAACTAAAATAGAAATTAACTTTTTTTTGTTAACATGTCACATCATTAATGTAACTAGAGTAAACAATTCATTGATCAGATTATGACTAATCGATAATTTAAGTGATCGAATCACAACAATTAAAAGTGACATCCATTGTAGTTTACATTTTTCTTTAAATCGGGTCTATATTTTGCATTATTGCCCTCTTTTTTGTATTTGGAATTTAAGAAAACATTATTTTTTTTGGGCATTATTGTCACTTTAAAGATTTTTAACTATTTAATTATTATAAGATAATATCTATTTATATCTTTTATAGTCATTAATGACATATAAACACTATGTAGATAAAATTACTCGAAGTCTCAAACCTGAACAATACTCCCTTTAAAGTTTAAACTATACTATATAAGTGTTCCAACTAATTAATTATATAATTGTTGTCTTTCTTACTTCTGTTTATCTTTCTCAAATCCCAAAGCAAAGTGCAAATTAATATTAAACAGTCAACAAAGAGAGTATTGCACAAACAAATAATTAAAAGTATACTTGCTTTACATTTTCTGGAACTCGAACGGCTAAACAGCAAAAGATTTTTTTTAATCAATTAAAGAGAAAATTATACTCTAATTACCTTTATATGATAAGATAATACTATATTACATTATCATAATTTTTGGGTAAAGTACACAAATGGTCCCCCAACTATAGCATATTATTTTGTTGAGTCATCCGACTATTAAAAATCACAAAATGGTCCTTTAATTATAGGATGTTGCTATGTTGAGTCCCTCGACTATTAAAAGTTACAAAATGGTCATCCGACTATTCATATGTTTCAAACTCATCTTCTTTCGTTAAAAGATTGACATTCGTCTAAGCTAAACGTTAACATGTTAACTAAGATATGATAATCATTTAAGATTCTTGGATCATATTTTATCATATCCTAGTTAGCAGATTAGCATTCAACTCATATTATCGCCAATTTTTTAAAGAAAAATGGCGAGTTTAGTACATATGAATAGTCAGAGGATCATTTTGTAACTTTTAATAGTCGAATTAATCAATAAAGTAATACCTTACAGTCGAGGGATCATTTATGTACTTTATCCTAATTTTTTAACTATCGGTATCTGATCTATTAATCGATTATTTTGGATCAAGTTTTACAAAGACTCATTATGAGGACAACTCTCTCAACCCAATTTATTCCATTCACAAACATCAAATTTCAATCTTCTAATCTTATTTAAAAGAATATTATAATCTTTAATATCACGTTAATTATGTGATTATATATCTCGAAAGTACGAAAATATTACCGTATAAATGAGTGTCAGCCACTTGGTCATATCTCTCGAACTAGTACATTGAGAATATTAATTTTAATTAAAGCTAAAAATTTTAAGATTCCACCACACAAAGAAAAAAAACAACAACCAAAAGTACACTAAAACTGTAGATTACATGTAATAAAAGAGAGTTCAAGAACAGTAGTTTTAGTACAAAACATTAAAACAGTAAAGAGAACGAAAAAGTATAAAGCACAACAGTACATACACGTATATATTAGTAGTACTAATACTATATTTATTCATGTGATAGAGCTCAAGACAGTTTCAAAGAGAAAATATCTGTTTGGTGACAAAAGTGGCAAAGATTGTGTAATTATTTTACCTTTTTTTGGGGAGAAAAGGTTGTTTTTTCCCTTTCCTCTCAGAGTTATTCCAGGACACAAAAGGGAAAGTAATGCAATAACTTGGAAATTGGAAAGTGTGTTGTCCAACCCTAAACCCAAAATTAAAATTCCTATAATATTCATTACCTTTAGACCTAACTCAAAGATATTATTAATTAATTAGTAGCAGTAGTTTTTTATGATTAACATGATTTTTTTTATAAAGAATGGTTCTGTCAAAATAATATTATTTTTCCATTTGGTTTAGTAAAACATCATAACACTTATTTTAGAAAGAAAAAAAAACAGTTATCTAATTTAAGAGGAGTTACAATATTATAAATCAATTCATCAAAATACTTTTATATATGATATTATACATGAACTTAAGTTAAATATACATGATAATATATAATTTTTGATTTTATATAACTTTATACATAAAATTCTAATTTTGAATATTTAATTCTTCTCATATGTGTGGGATGATTGTATTGAACACACAGTCCAGCCCAACAAGAAAGACATTTAAACTGCTGTATACAGTTTTTTTAAAATAAAAATACAGTCATTTTTCTCTATGAATTAAAAGGCTTAAATGATACTCCAATTTGGTTTCTAAATTATATATATATATATATATATATATTCATTTTGCTGCCTAATTTTTCGTTATGATTTCTGTGGGTGCAAAAACCATTACATTCAACCAGCGGTAACTTGCCATGCAGCATAAAATATCATATAAATGTCATCTTATGCCTCTAAAATCATGTTATTATTAATTAGGATAAAGTACACAAATGGTCCCATGCTATAAGACGTTGTTTTGTTGAGTTACTATTAAAAGTTACAAAATGATCATCTTGCTATTTATATGTTTCAAACTCGTTTTTTTTATTAAAAAATTGGTGGTTGTCTGAGATGGATGTTAACTAGTTGACTTGATATGATAAAATACGATATTAGAACCATTTGAGTTGTATTTTGTGGATTGACTATCTGTTTATATTATGTCGTTGAGTCAGTGCTTGAAAGCAACAACGGTGTCAATTGACATTAATAAAATATGATTTTATCATATCTCAGTTAGCAGGTTAACGTCCAACTCAAACGACTATTAATTTTTTAACGAAAAGGATGAATTTGTAATATATAAATTATCGAGTGATCATATTATAACTTTTAATAATCATGAACTCAACAAAACAACGTCATATAATTGAATGATTATTTTATAACTTTTAATAATTAAATGACTCAACAAAATCACGCCCTATAATCGAAAGACAATATGTGTACTTTACCCTATTAACTAATATTAATGTTAACTTAAAAATAAAATTTATTTACTATTTTTAATTAAAAATTAAATATCAACTTGACAAATATTATATTTTAAATAGAAATTTATTCTTTTTCTGAATATATAATTTATTTATTTATTTTAAAAAATTAATAAAACCCTCAACGATCTAGGGAAAAAAATCCACTTGAACAAAGAATCCACCTGAAATAAAAGCCCAACAGTTGTACAGGCGAAAACCTATGTAAAGGTGACAAAGGCTTGAGTCAGAATAGGAAAAAAGAAAAACTTGCTCTTTAAAACATGAAAACATGATTTGTATAAATATTACAAAGATGTGTCATGCATACAATATTAAATATGCTTAATATAAAATAATTATCTAAACTATATATCTTTTTTATTTATGTGTTTAATTTTTTTCCTAAAAATAAAACATTAGGGGCTAAAAAGCTATTGATGGTTAAGAAAGATTTTGAATAGATATCATCTTATAATCACTACAGACTATGGTTAAGAAACATTAGGGAAAACAACATATTTTCCAAAATTGATTGACAGCAGCTACAAGCTCAACTTGGCTCATCTCTTTCTTAGTAAAGAACAAGAGCCATGCATTTGTTTCTTTTTTCCATTTCAACACCAATCACTTCTTTTTGCAATCCACAGCGCAACCATTGTGTAGGCACCCAAGTTTCAAGCCGACATTCATTACCTGGGACCGGAAAGCTCCATGGCTTCCACCACGAGCGAAGATTCTTCTATAAAATCGGAGTACCTTTGCAGAGGAGGGTTATCACGTGATCGGGACCTTGCTGTCTCAATCGTTTGCGAAGCCTCCCATTTGTCAACCAGACCATCACCTTCAAGCATCCTTAATACTTCAGACATCTTCGGACGGTGTGGAAGTGCATAAAAGAGCAATTTGAACCGTTTCTTCTAACTCAATGATGTCAAAATTGCCTTTTAGATCCTTATCCACCAGCAGGCTTAGTTTACCTTCCTGATGTAGCTTCTTTACCTGCAAGACAAGTTAACCAAATATGAGACTTTTGTGATGGTTACTTAAAGTGTACATTAAAATAGAGAGAAAGAGAGTACCCAATCAAGCATTACGTGCTTCTCGTTTGACCCTCGTCCGAAATTCAAGGCCTTCTGACCTGTGATTAGCTCAAGCAGCAGGATCCCGAACCCAAATACGTCTGTCTTCTCAGATGACTGACCTGTTGATAAATACTCGGGAGCGATATGACCAACAGTACCACGAACCGTTTTAGTAACATGAGAATCTCGCTGATCTAAAAGCTTTGCCAACCCAAAATCTCCAACCACCGCCTCGAAGTCTTCATCCAACAAAATGTTCGCAGCTTTGACATCACGATGAATGATTTTTGGGTCACACTGTTCATGCAAATAGACAAGCCCCCTAGCTGTACCTAAGGCTATCCTCTTCCGTCTTCCCCAGTCTAAAGCTGGCCTACCATTAATATGATCTAAAACAAAACCGCGAATTTAAAAAGTTATTTGTAAGGTGTAGATGCCAAATTCTAACAAGATTTATCGCTTCGAATAGCAATTAAAGACAAATAGGATGATCATATTGACATATAGTAATCAAAGACTAATGAACTTCAGTAAACTAACCTCTTAATCTAGACATTACACTGCCATTCGGCATATAGGGGTAGACCAGAAGCCTCTCGTTCTCGGTTGTGCAGAATCCGGAAAGCCTGAGAAGATTGCGATGGATAGCTAAACTTATTGTCTCTACTTCGGTCTGAAATTGGATTTCACCGCCAGCTATGTTATAGTCCTTCAGCCTTTTAACAGCCACCAAAGTCCCATCATTCAAGCAACCCTTGTACACTATCCCAAATCCGCCTCTCCCAAGAATATTCTTCGAGTTG